TCAAATTTTCTTAAGTCATAATGAGAGTTTGCTTAGTAGAGTTGAAAATAGTTTGCTTATTGATCATAGTAAATTTTAAAATTTTCATTTGACCTATACATAGATTGTTTGGGATCCTATATCAAGATATTTATCAGTGGAAATAACATAATTATATTATTTCCACTTAATCTAGATTATTCTAACTCATATGACAATGGTGGCTAACTTTTATCGTCAAATCACATGATGACAGTGGTCATCTTTTGTTGTCAGACTATATAATAACAGTGGCCCAATTTTATTATCAGGCTGATTTCTGTCGCTAGGTCATATGGGTAAAAAAATATATTTAACGCATTTAAGTGATTCGAGAAATGAGAAATATAAGTCATTTGAATAACAAAGATCATCATTTGCCTGAAGTTTTATGTTATATTTATTTATCACATTTAAATTTAAAATTATAGCAAAATAGAAATCTAAAAGCAAATCTTATTCTTATATAGCATATGTTTTAAAAAGAAATCATAAAAAATTTTCTAATATTATGAAAAAGATCTCTTATCAGAACTATTCTAAGGGTATTCAGCTAACTTATAAGGGTAATCAGCTAATTCTCCTTGGTCATCATAATAAGAGTATGAAATATTATAATAATGAAGAAGAACACCTAATGCTAATACTTCATTCACACTCCAGTCCCATGCATCAATTTTAATATTCTTGTCATGGCTGTATAATTTTTTTGATGTAATATAATAGAGACCACCTATACATCTTTGACATCTTTGTATTGAGAATTATTAAGTGAGCATGTTTGCTTTAAATATGATATAAACTTTACATCTTGAATCAGCCTCATTAAAACATTATCTGTAGGTTTGTAAAATGAGATAATTTTGTCCTGTGACTGAATCTATTAAGAGAAAAAATATGTAAACAAATATGATAAAATCATTGTAAAATACATAAACAAATATACAGAATATTACCATTGATCTAATAAACTCTAAAGCATCTCTCACATTACACATCCCTTTTAATCGTAAAAAAGTTCAGTGTGATATTTAACAATATTCTCAAGATTCGTAATATGTTTTGATAGTTCCACTTTTTCCTGCATTAAATCCAATTTTTCACGTTCTTTTTTTT